AGAAGTCGGATAGTAACTTAATTAGGGTTAGGAGTGAAAAATGCAGGAAAAGGTGATACCCAAAACTTCAAAATACTTCTCCCAGTGGCGGGTCCAGGGGGAGGGTCCGGGGGGCCCGGACCCCCACATCAGACCTGACGCTTACAACTTGGAGACTGAAATTCTTACATCCACAGGATCGTATATCACTTTTTAACTGGCTGATTTTTTAAATTAATGAATCCAAGTAAACAGTAAGCGGCCAAGGAATTAAAACGTGCAACCGCGACTGGTGGGAGGGGGTGTGGGGGGTGTGGAGGAGAAGTAATTTGCCTCAAAAGAGTCCAACAGTTCTTTCTGAACCAAAGTTTGGACCCTCCCAATCAAAAATTCCTAGATCCGCCCCTGTTCTCTTATATCCATTCATTTTCTCTAACTTGAAAAACAGGCAAACTTTCCATTAATGTGGTGTAAGCAATGCGATTGTACGATTCAGCATCTATTGGCCTCCGACACAGCTTCATGAAGTACGTAACCGTGTTTTTTTCTTTTTTTGATAGCAAGTTCAATTTTCCTAAGTCAATGGTAGAAAATAGACAGTCAAAGACTGCACGTGACTACTTGTATAGTACTATGTGATTGTACGATTCAGCATCGATTAGCCTTCAACACAGCTTCGTGAAGTGCGTAACTGTGCAGAATATTTGTCTCACATGCAAAGCAGAAAACCTGCCGCAGCCACATATTAATGGGTACCTTGTTCCACAAAGACATCTCGTCATTTCACCGATCCACCGTTCCATAATAACAGGAAAATAAATAACTCAAGGTATCATATTTAATTTCACAACTTACTCGCTTCGCATTTTGACATAAGTCGCTGATTCAAACAATAACATGCTCTATTTTTGAAGGATTTTCCTCAAAGCCTACATGATGAGCAGATCACGTGTATTGAGACATATCCGCGAGGAAAAGTTTTGTTTCAGTTATGCATCGGTGGATACCATTGTGTGAAACTGTTTTGAGATGTTTACTGTCTTTCATAGTGTCACCTACGGCAAAAACTGATAAGATTACAACTTCGGATCTACATAATTTGCTGATTTAAACGATAAAATGATCTCTCTCTAAAGAAAAGAAAATCACACCCAGTGCAAGAAAACCGCGACAACAATTTAGTCTTGTTTTAATACACAATAGAAAACACACTACACAATAAAAAACGTTGCCTTTACAAATGCAACAAACTCTAATGAGGTGGTCTGATTTGTCCTAGCAAAAAAAATTAATATATCTGATTGCTGCCAGAAACGCACCCCACACGATGTGGTTGCTGTCAGCAATAAACCCGAAACAATCTGATTGGTTTCAGCAATATATCCAAGACAATCATGTGACTGTACAAACGAAAGCAAACCGATTTATCACGTCTCTGCCCATTTGCTCTGGGGCTAGGTCCTCGAGGCAGGTGTTTTTGTTCTTTAGGGATTCCTGCAGTAAATGCAGTTTTTGGAAATTTAACGTGTGTACTATCGTTTGAACTACACCCTAATAAAACCGCAACCGGAATAATTTAACAATAACCAGTGCATCTGGTGCGAGAAATGTAACCAGTGCAATCTGATCGAATAAAGCAATATAACCTGCACCAACTAATTGGTGCGAGTAGCTTCGCTTTCCAAGTCTCAGATGATGTTTTTATAAATAAATAAAAAACTTCAAAAACGATCAATTTTCTTCAAAACAGTGAACATAACATTGCAGAAAATGGTATGTCACAATTCAAAGTCAAACTCTAATCCAGATCCTTTCAATTTTTCCAATACTTCCTTCTCAAATCTCTCGTCTAACTCTGGGGTGAAGTGTTCCTTCCAGTTACCGACCATACCCTTGCGAAGAAACTTTGGTCCCTCTACCTTGCCTCCCAACAGGAAGCTTTGAACATTCTTCATCATTCCTTTGAAAGTGCACTGTTCCGTTATAAGATTAATGACTTCCTCTGACAGCGACTTGTTGAGAAATTCGGAAATTATGCGAACGTTGGACTGAAGATCCTACAAAATAATTCATAAGGATAATATTGATCATAAAGCTATGAATATGGTCTATTGCGCTTAAAAAAAATTTTGCGAGGGACTTTGGTCAAACTGCATTGAGCAGCTTATCATTTTTGAAAGGCAATTTTGCAGGTTCCCCCAATTTTGGAATTTTTTGGAAACAAGGCTAGACCAAAACACTTGGAGCAACGTTCCCTACTCTTTGCGAGAAGTGCGTGAGCTCCTTAACATCCTTCAGCACAAAGAAAATGTTGGAGACGGGGCTTAAGGTCTTTCGTCCTTATCCGTGAAGCCAAGAACGTCTAACCATTTGCAGATGTCATAGCAAAGGCAGCACATTCTCCTCAATTCAGTATTTTTGGACCATGAGTGTTGATCCGGCCTGGGGCACAGACTCTAAATGACTTGAACTCAACTCTGAGCATGATCATCCCCTAAAGCATACACAGTTATAGCCAGTCAGACACATTTGAACAATATCTTAACTCTATGAAAAAAAGCCCTGCGCTTCAAATACATCACTGCAAGAAACTATCATCTCTTCATCGACGCCAATGTTTTACCTATAAACTCTGTATACTATAAAGTATTATTCAATTTCATGCCTGATGTAGCTAATATTTGAGACTACGAGAAGACCCTTTTTTTCGGTGAAATCCATTGCGCAAGTCAAAAAGAAAAATGTTAGCAGACCGCGCGGAACTCTGGGATTGTAGCGCGCATAAAGTAGTACATGTGCTTTTCGTGCACCTCAGTCCCAGAGTTCCGTGCGGCGCGATAACATCAAAACTTTTTTCACTAATTTTTTTATTTGACTTGCTCTTTTGACAACAAACCAAACGACTAAACTTCCAAAAACTTTGATGGATCTAATGCTAATAGCTGTTCGTCGAATCTGTATTAAGCAGCAGCGTACAAAGCGGTCACCCTGTATTAAGCGGTCACCTCCGTTAAGCGATCGTTATCACACAATGGCCTCTTTATAATGCTTCCATCGGTAGTAAACAGTCAGTTTAAACGGAACCACTCAGACAAAATTAAGTATAATCTTTCAAGTAACATTTAATCTATTTTTATCTACCTTAATCGATGTTATTCAGTCACCCCGCTGTTCTCCGTAGTTGACCGCTTAGTACAAAGTTGGACTGTATAAGACATACCAAAACGGTGGATGGCATTAAAGGCGCGCTCTGGTACTCAAACTCTGAATATCCTTTGCTGTTCACTTTCGAGCAACGGGATTTGCGCCCGAAAATATTTTAATCGTTGCAGGAATAAATGAATTAAAATCATCTTTTGGAGCTATGTCAACTCAAGGTCTCAAGGTCGCTGGTTAGCGGCGGATATTAACATCGCCGTTTCGCGGTTCGGAAAATATCCACCATTAGCCACCGACACTTAGTGAATTTATATATATCTTATTAGAAGTTTTGTTGTGGGGTATCGATGAGTGTTCTCAGGAGTTGTGCCGTATTTTAACGGGCCCGTAAGGTGAGTCAAAATACAAATAACTAGTAAAACTACTCAGCAATACGACACACCAATACGTCTAATAAGTTATTTGTTATCCAACACGCCAAATTGTTATCTTCAGTGCGGGCGGATTTCGTGGATATTTATTTACTGGGTGTGCGTGACAGAAGTATGCGAAGCGGAACATCGTGTTGCTGTTTCTATTTTCTTCGATAAATCATGAAATTACATTGTCGTCCAGCTGCATGCTTATCTTCCTTCAGTCTGTCTAATAAACTTGGATCAGTATTCGCCAGCCATTCTGACTCTTCGTCATCAGAAAAATTATTTAAAATTGTCAGCCATTTCTTTTTTAGCTCCAATCCAATTCGTCGCTTGCACGATGCAAGAAAACCTGTCTAGCCGGTTCTCTAGTGTACAAATACCGCGTGATATTTGTACTCGTCTTGGGCTTTATTTGTACTCTACGGGTATATTTGGATAATAATAGTTAAATATCTGAGTTTTTGCCGAATTATTTCCTTTTCGAACTATTTCTTAGTGGTAAATTTGCTCAATCGTAAGTATTTCCCAACAATGATCCAATTTGGTTTAGAAAGTTTCGTTAGGTATATCTCTAATCGTAATCCTAAACACCGACTCGCCTTAGACTAGATGTGGTTGTTTGGGGTCAACCAATGTAATATTGATAATCTCAATGTGTAAAAGAAAATGTGCGACAATAGCGAGTTAATGAGCTAGAATAGATTTAAGTTCGAAGACTCTGTGGTTTAATACCATACAGAAGTAAGGAGAATATTTTACCTTCTTCAGGTCTTCATATTTAAGGAAAAGAACGTTGGGATCATGTCTGTGCTTCCACCAACTAAGAACATGATCATTCCATTTGTTATAAACTGCTGATTAAACGGAATTTATTCACCTCATAAGCATTCAAACTGAACGGCAAGACAAAAGTTTAACGCGTAACCAATATCCATCGTAGATAGTCCCAGCTGGATACAAAGAATTTTGTTTACTACTTAAGCCCCGGGATGAAAAATTGAATTAAGAAAAAAGAAATAAAAAAGAGAAAACTCCATCAAACTGATTGTAGAATGATTTCTCTGTTGACAAATAGAACAGAGACATGAGCCCTTTCTGTGGGAAAATCAGCAAAGTACTTAGTTGGTTACGTGACTAACCCTGGCCACGGATCACCCCCACGATCAAAACACAGTTCATGTACTTACTTTTACCCTCGATAAACAGTTTCGCATAAAATTCCCATGGAGCATTCATTCCGTTTGTGCCGAAGCTAGCCATGAATTTATAGCTTGAGACTGCAGCATCCTTGGGGTTGCGCGCGACGTAGATATATTTACATGGTGTCTTGGCGTCGTCTGTACCCTTAGGGATCGCATCATAGGGCAGGTGGCTCTTGAACAGACGAGGGCTTGGCATAGTTGTAATATCAAGATGAGTTGATTCTGGTAATAAAGCTTTCTCTATAAACAAGACGCGATCTCCCAGGACTTTTTTACTGATTTCGCCATTGTGGTAAATCTGCCACACAATTTCTTGAACCCAAGTAGTCCCTAACAAAATATATCGAGAAATCGTAGTCAAAGACAAATGTGTCGCTTTATTGTGTTTACAGTTCTTGGATAAAAGAAACAATGGCGAAAAATACAAGATACTTTAAGTTGACAAAGAAAGTCTCTTTCAAGAATATTATGGGATTATTAGGAAATCCAGAAATCTTTCCGAGCTCCGCGTCACGTGCAATTAAAAGTTTTGCCCACCTGACTTGGGGTAGCTGACAATAAATACATCGTCAGGTTTCGTCTGAAAATTTGTGATGAAGTCGCACAGCACCTGGGGGCTTTCAGAACCAGACAAGAAAAAAGCTGGAATTCTAAAGCTCAGGACTTCAATCATTTCATTGGAGGTCCATTCCCCTTCACGTTCCTGTATGATTGGGCAAGTCGCCATGCTGTCCACAGATTCCACCGAAACAGAGTTACAGAAATATTTGAAACGCGAAGCGTCGTTCGTTTGACGTTTCGGCAAAATTTCGATGAAAACACCTACTTCATTATGTATACAATTCATTATGTATATTTTATGACAGCCACGACGAATTTTCCGCTTTCAGAAGTACATACAACCACTATACAATGAACCATATTCAGTAAAAGTACTATGCATCTCTTTGTTTGTTTACGCTTGAGGGGCACACTAATGGCGGATAGCAACCGTTATCAAGTGTGGTGTCACGTGGGTGAAAGTCAAGAATTCTCTGATGAAAAAAAAAGGCTCATCTTGAATGAAGGCTTGGAGCTCTCTCGATCAGTTAATGCAGATGTGGTCGCTAGCTTCATAGTCACACAAAAATTTAACATCCATGGCCATCGAACCATGCATATCTTATATTTTATCGACTTTAAGGAAGTGGCTTGTTCAGTGTACTGATTCGCAATAACATTTTAAGTTACTTTAATTTTATTTATTCATTTAACACAAACCATTACTTGTGATTTACAAGAAATCTATCAATAATTACTGAAAGTTGCCACATTACAATGACCGACATAATTGCCAACAACTAAAATGCTAGGGCTCCACCGCAGTATACCCCGCCATTCGAAGTAAATTCCACGTAGCCGGTTACGCGGTACACCCCCAAAAAAAATTAATAAAAAATAATTAAATTTATTCAATGGACACATACATTCAAGTTGGCGCAGCAATTTGAACGTGCTGGCTACGAGGTCGCCGTGACAACAAAGACAGCGTGCTGTGCATTCCTCGTCGGTACGCTGTACGCTGTGAATAATAATACGCTGTGAATAATAATCTAAGTCAGGGAATTGTACATTCCTTGTTCTTTGAGCATGAAAACCCTGAGTCAAAGCCTATAGGTAACACCACCTTCAAGACGCTGAAATTTAACTGTATGCCGTGATGAATAAATAACTCAAGACAGATTATCGTAATTAATCCCACAGACAAAAAACTCACATTTTACATTACATTCTATGAACGCGAGTATTTCTCGTGAAAACGTGAAAATATGAACATCATTCCTCGTTCTATGAATGACGCGTGGAGAAAGCTAGAAGCTTATAAAATTCAGAGACATCACGATATTAGTTTAAGGTAAGTATTAGTCAGCACTGCACTTGTGCAGAACTCCAATGAAATTGTTTAAAGAAATAATCAATTATGTACAGCGTCGCGTGCTTTTGAGAGGGTTTTCATGAGGAAACCAGGTGGTCCCTGAAATGTAACCGCAATTACCTTGCAGCACATATCATGGGCTGCGAATACATGTAGCTGTTATTAGGGACCTTGAGCAGTCTGGATGGCACGCCTAGGAAGATGTTGATTTAAAAAATGAATTTCTACTTTTACTGTTAGAATTTCGAAAATGGCTGCATGTGTTTACCACCTCATACAGCGCCACAACTCTACCTCGACATATCGTATAAAAGTGGCGTTGAGTTCCGATGGAAATTAGAATAATTTGCCGTTGTAGTTTTGGTTCGCAGATGACGCAAATTTTGGTGATTTCACGTTGTTGTTTTGCAAAGGACGGCTAAGAAATGTACTAAGTTTTAAAATGCATCCGCTAAGCTATTGTTCTGCCAATTATATCTTTTGTTTTTAGACGTCCTCGTTGCCGTCGCCGTCGTGGTTCGCTTAAAGTCCTTCTTACATCGCTCGCACTGCCCGTGAGTAGGATGAAGCGAATCTTGTGTTCAGATTGGCTACCCGAGCGGGCAAGACGGGCCATTTCGCCCGCTTGGGACTGCCCGCATAAATGCCGCGCATGGAAAAAACTAGAATTAGAACTACATTCGTAATTCTTGGACAATTTCGGCGATGGAAACGTGGCAGAAGATTATCAAAACGAGGAAAACAAAAACGTGAGTTTGTTGTCCTACAAACGCAGTTGGCTTTTCCTGGTTCGCGAAGTAAACAAGTCATTCTTAATTCTTAATGAAGCGAAATATTTTTGAGTCCTTTGTTAATCAAACTTGTTCGGTCAAGATGGTTGGATATTATCTTCATTCTTTAAAAATGCAAACAAAAAACTCGGCCAATCCCAGCCAATCCCAACCATCTTGACCTCACGCTTGGTTAATACTAATTCACATATATTGGTCGAAGAAGGCGCGCGATTTACGTGGGCGCGAGTGACTTAGGATCAGCACACGCGAACGAGACGTGTTTCCCACGTTCTCGACAAGTGTCTGCTACAACGATCACTTGTAAAATTGTTTAGAAAAAACATGGAATTTTCATAGAGATTATAACTCAAATTCGAACTCCAATCCGCTCCCCTGTAATTTTGCCAGCACTTCCTTCTCAAATCTCTCATTTAGCTCTGGAGTAAAGTAATTCTTCGAGTCTCCTACCACGCCTTTTCGCAGCAGTAAAGTCCCATCATCATTGCTCTGAATCGCGTAACTTGAAGCATTTTTCTTCATTCCACTGAAACTGCACTGTTCAGCAATGAGACAGAGGACATCCTCTGAGAGCGGCTTGTTGAGGAAGTTGGCGATTAGTCGCACATGGGAAAGAAGATCCTAAAGCAGATTTCATCACAATTGTTATAACAAGTTTAAGCAAGTTGTTAAAATAAGTGTAGCAACGAATAAATTGAGCCAAACAGGAGAATCTTCGGAGAAATGTCTGAGAAATCATACGCCCTAGATGTAGAATAGAGTATTAACCCAGGAGACCGACACAACACAGAATATTGTGTATAGTTTAATGTAGTTATAATCATGTAGATGTACTATTCCGCTATTTACCGTCACTTTACCATATTAGGACCACAGAACGTAAACAATATGCCACAGTACGAACAGGCAGAAAGGACACAAAGCAGTGGGATAGGGTGGCGTGAGGTGGGTCGATGGGTGAGCAAGTGAATGGAGAGTAGCAAAGTCATGTACTGTATCACTGTATGTGTCGTGGTTATAAAAAATGTAATTCATCAGAAATCATACACATGAAAACTGAAAGTATATAGTCAAGACTTGAAAGAGTTACAGTAGACTCATATTCAATTTTGGTCGTTTGTTTTCTTTATGAGGACATTTAAAGACAAAAGAAGATCTAGCTTGACATGTCTTACTTTAGTTCATCCTGTCAAATTGTACACTGTTTTTGAACTTAATTGCCACTTTGATAGCTGGGTCTTGAATCAGGTTTTTTCAATTGGTTCCTTAAACTAAGAAACAAACTACATGAACTAGCCTAGAATTTAAGAGACTTATACAAACCTGGTGCATATCTTCATATTTGAGAAACAAGATGTTAGGTTCATGTTTCTGCTCCCACCAGCCCAGAACATGGTCATTCCAATGGTTAAAACCAACTGATTATAACATAAAGAAATGGTTCTCAGCTGTGTCAAAGTGAAAAAAAAAGCTGTAGATCCACTTTTATGCTAGTGACTTACAACGTGAGTCAAAACTCTTAGGGGGAAGTTACTAAATACCTTCCCATGAGCTCTCCACTCCAAAGATGTATGTATAAAATTTCTGCCATAAATAGCTGCTTGAAAAAGTATCAATATTTCTTTTTGGTCACTCCTGGTGATGAAATAGTAAAAAACCTAAAGAGTAGTCCACCATTCAAATCTAAAGATAAATATGCAGGGTGTGTCTAACAATGTTTTCCTGCCTCCCTCCCTGTGTTCTTTAATTGTCCAAATGTAATTTTTTTTAAGGGGGGGGGGTGCAGAAGGGCAAATAAAATCCAAATGGAAGAAAACTGGTGTAAACAATTACTCTAAATCTGTTCATTGAGCACCAAGACATAAAAGTGATCTGGAATACAAAGGCTGCAAAACAGGATACAGAAAATTTCTGGACTGAGTCACTAGGTGGCAAAAAAAAAAGTAAGACATATGTGCTACATAATTCTCTTCAACAATCACAATCTTGAGGTTCAGATATGAGCCCAGTAGCACCCTGGATCATCAGTCAGTTCTCAGTAGTTCAGTGGTAAGAATTGGATTGCACAGTAAAGAAAAACATGAACAACAACTCTCTTTGATTAAAACAAAACCTTCAGTTCTCTTCAATTTACCATTTCCTTCAATGAACAACTTGGCACAAAATTCCCAGGGTCCACTATATCCATTTCCAATCAACTTTGAGCTTGTAATGAATTTGAAGTATGACACTGCCACATCTTTAGGATTGCGGGCAATGTAAATGTATTTACAAGTGGTGTTGTTGCTGGCACCTTTGGGAACAATCTTGTATGGTAAGTGTGTCTTAAAAATGCGAGGGCTTGGCAAAGAGTCGATTTCTGAAACTTGTCTTGGAAATAGTGGTGAAGTTAAAGTATCTAGGAATGTAATTCTTTTAGAAATTGAGTCACTGTTCACTTCTCCTCCATTATAGATCTGCCAAACAATCTCTTGCACCCAAGTTGTGCCTAGGCAAACAAAAGCAAGTTCATTTTATCTTAGATAAAACAATTTATTATTGTGCAGAGCTATGCCAATAGGATATAAGAGTGGGCTTTTATCATTATGAATGGAAATGTTTACAAGGCTGGGGGATATTGAAACACATTTTTTTAAAACTAGCTGATAACAAAACGTGCTTTTGTGAAAAACTGAATTACTCATATTAATTTGACGAGACATGTTAAGATGAGTCCCTAATAACAGTTCACTAGTTGGGATTTACAAAAGCTAACAAAAGAAATGACTAAAGTGATAATAAGAGTACATAAATACGATAGCATGGAGATGATAGTCTCATTAGTGCAACTGTCTCTTCAGTCAAGTGTATTGCAAGAGGCCAACATCCCCCACCCCACCCCCCCACAGCCTCTCCAACCAAGGAACAACTGCTCACATCTGTGATCAATTTTACTGATAGTACTCTTCTTTGCAACCTTTTTTGGTCTCGTCATGCACCGTACTCTTTCCCCTACCATGTAAGCCACTGTTTCCTGGGGGTTAAATTAAGGGGGAACTAAGGAGGAACATTGAATAGCATTTGAACACACACCACTGCGAAGGAAACTCCCACATTTATATCACTATTAGCATTTCCTCTCATTATCATTTTAACCATTTTCTTAAGACAGAGAACGCGCTGCGTGACAAGACCAAACGACGGTTGCGAAGGAGACTATACTGATAGCGCGATAGCGAGATGGCGTGATAGTCGTAAAGGTAGACCCGTCGTTTTCTATTATCAAAGAACTGTATGCCTTATGAAGTGTGGGATTACTTGGATATCTTGTCCTCAAAATGTACAGAGCACGATAAAATATCTCGTTTTCAGCTCCTTACCTGACTTTGGATAAGACGCTACAAAAACATCGTCCGTCTTTGGGTGGAAATCTGAGATGAAGTCGCTAAGTAATTGTGGATTGTTTGTGAAATAAGATGGAATTTTCACTCCCAAGACTTCAACGAAGTTTCGCGACTTCCATTCCCCTTCTCTTCTTTGAATGACTGGAAAGCTGGCCATGATTTTGAAATACTCTTTTGCACTTTAGCTACGCACGAACGACAAGTTTACAATGTAAGAGCAAAATCTGGGGAGAGCGGATTAGGTCTCTCAAGAAAATCAAGAATGGCACAGAAATGCGATATTAGGACTGTGGATTGTTCATGATAGAGGAAAATGTGGCCATTAACTAAAGGAAAACTAAAACTGGGAAAATGGTTAAGCTCATTATACGTTCATTTTAAACTAATATTTAAATGAAAGTCAAGGACTACAATAGGTGACATATACATGTATCAAGAAAGTAGCACAGTTCACGCAAATTTACGTGAAACGTGAAAGGGCAAGCTGACGTTTGCCGTTTCACGTAAACGCAGTGCCAAATCTCTCACTAAAATCACCTCGCGCGAGATGATAGCAGCAGGAGCTCTAAATGTCAAAATCACTGCCTCGCGTTTTGTCAATGTTATGAAAGAAGTGATAAACGCGATAGAAGTCCAAAGTCCGAAAAGCACAAGAAGTTTGTCGTTGCACCTTTCAAAAGAAAGATAGGAAGTTTCTGTTGATTGAATTAGATAAAACTGTTTAATTCTAGTGGTACCTGGCTGCTTATCTCGGTACGAGTAATAAAAACAATTGCAATATAACGGGAAATGCCACTTGGGGTACATCCTCGGATATCTCCCCAGTTTTAGTTGAGGGATATTCAGTCACGTGATGCTTTTTGACTGATCGTGCGCGCGCAAAATATTGATGGGTTTTAATGTTAAATAATCCCCATGACTTTGTCGCGGGGATTATTAAAAAATATTCACCACGCCTTCGGCGAATAATTGTTCAATAATGGACACGCAATATAAATTCACAATTTTATTTTATATATTTACGTATCTTTGATAGTCCCAATTAGATAAAAAACGATAAATAAAAAAAAAAATTAGTAGAAGTAGATAAATGATTATAATAAGCAGATGACAAGTCTGTAAACCGAGACTCTAGAGAAAAAATGTCGATTACCGGGGATTATTTATTTAAAGGAAAAAGCAGATTTAATACTGTAGACGGTGTGTGCAAGAATTCAGTGAAGGATGTCATCAACAAAGAAAACAAAATTTAGAACCTGGTGTAAAAGATTCCCTGGTGAATGGCACCGCAAAGGAAACAAATTTGACGTCATGTAGAGTTGAAAAAGAATGCGAAGAAGCCAAGAAGCCAGCTCAAAGTGGATCAATATCAGCCATTCTGCTTCCTAATTTGAATGAACTAATGGCACCCCCTCTTCCGGGTGAGGAGTCACAGCCTCCTTTACCTTTAGACGAAAAGAAGCCACCTCCTCCTCCTTCTGCCCTATCATTATCACTACTACCTTTGCCACCAGAACTTCCTGGCACTCCAGGTGAATCTCCTGCTTGTTAGTCGCCACTCTCCCCAGGAGGGAAACTTTCTCAATCTCCTAAGCCTACACAGCATTCCTTTCCACCATTACGACTTTTAATGGATACAGATGACTGGAAAATGCCGTACGGCCCCCACCCCCCACCCCCCTAAGGTGAGAGGTGAGAGAGGAAAGGAAAAGAGAGAAAGAGCGGTAGTCATACGGTAAACTGCTTTACTATACTTTACTTTACTTTAATTTATTTAAAGAGGGAAACGCAATAACCTGTTACAGTTTTTTAATTGCGGCCCTCAATTCACCCATCCCACCCCAGGGGAGGACATGCATCCCACTGTAATCTCGTTCGTGAGAAATTAACGTCTCCTACCCCTAACCCTGCAGGAGACGGGACCTCAATTTATTCGTCCCTATCCGAGAAGACTAGAATAGGTAACCAATTCTTCATGTTATAGAAAGGTAGCATATTCTTCTCAATTCATTTTAAAGACCTTGAGTATTGGTCCGGCCGGGGCTCGAACCCTCGATCTCCCGCACAACAGCCCAGCGCTCTATCCATTGAGCTAACTGGGAGGCGGTTTTCTGAGTTTGATCAAGCCCGCAGGAAAATTTTATTCTCTCAGACAGTTTTTTATGACCTCGAGCCGAGCATTCAGTTTCCCCCTCAGCCCTCTCTCTCAGAAGTAAGTACGTATTCTTTCTTGGAGATAATTGTCGAAATGCATGCTCTTCGACAGGACTAACATGGCTATCACCAACCTAATTCCACTGGATTTATTCCACATAAATCAAGAGACCAACTGCAATTTTACGACCAAAGTTAGTACACATGATATTTTGCCGAAGTCAGCAAAAAAGTCAATATTTAGTCGACGTTACTGCAGCTGAGCTCGTCGTTGTTCAACTAACTTGTTTTACCGGCAACAGATTTAAAATTCATGGCAAGAGAAAATCGAGATTGAACTGTTCCTTTCTTTGTTATTTCCCATATGGACCATGGCACGTTGAGTGTCGCACGATAAATTATAATTAAAAGTACTTCTCTCATATGAAGAAAATGTGGGAAAAGGTGGCTACAGTATTTATGAAATTTTCAAGTGTTGAGAAGGAAGCATGACAGCAATGTGCAACGATAGTCTCGATAGTGCTCGAAGGGCTACACGTCAAGATTAGTAGAATTTCGGCCGTAGGCTGTAATCCAAAACTTATTTCTCCATTGTATTTTGTAGGCTATGTCAAAATAGGGAAAACTAGTTCCATGCTTGCAAACCAAAAACACTTTAATTTCAGTTTAATTCATTTCCAAAGCTGAAAAGTGATTAATGAACAAAGAAAATTTTACAGATTTTTACAAGCCTGTGTGCTTTTCTTGACGTTGCATTTTCTGCGTTTTTTTTAATTCTTCCATTTCTTTCGCGTTACGTCAGGAAATCTTTCCGCCATCGTTTCAAACAAAATAATTTTTTTCCACCACTGTTTCACGGCCCGCTCACAGTATTTTTTTTATTACCTCTCTTACGAATTCATTGACCCTATTTGTCGGAGCCGATTGGTTATTAGCTTAGAGCAAGGTTACAAGCTTATAACCTGGCCCCGTTCAGCCAATCAGAAGGCTAGAAAATCAATAACCGTGCTCCAGTTTTTACTAAAGGTTTCCATCCTCTTTTTTACTCTAGGTTTCCATTGGATACTTGTGATAAATTCAGTCCTTTTTGCTTTCTGCCCGCTTAAACTAAATAACCCGCTAAGTTTCTCTGCGGAGGCTGATGTTGGCTGGAATTACAAGATAAAACCAATACTCCGGCATATTTTGGCCACTCTTATGGCCGCAGCTAAATCAACTTACATGAAATCAAGAAATCTTAATTAATTCCCAGCAAAGTTGTGGGAAAACTCGCAACGTAACCCCTAGCTTAAAGAATGATCCAATTTATACCACAGTTTGTGGAAGGGATACAGAAGGGGAAAATCTTTGTAGTTTGAAGCTGAAGAAAAGGAGGCCCGCAATTAGGCCTGTAATTGTTGTACTTATACGCCCCATATACAAGTCCCGTATGTGATATGATCCCCAGCACTGGAAAAATATAAATAACCAACAAGGCGAGCCGCATTAAAAATTTTTTCTGGAGTAGAATACATTTCCTTTATTCCTATTGGCCGTTTTGAAGACGAAAGTCGGAAAGGGGGAATTCATACCACAACCAGTCCCGTGGGAAAAGGAAAACACTGAAAAACACATAGTTTAACCAATAGATCAAAAGAAACGATGAGAAACATCATGTCAATCCTCTGTTTATCTTAATGTTTATCGAAGTTATGCCCTAAATTCCTTACTCAGGTGAATGGAATGAGAGCCGCGGAAAGTCTGGGAACGAAGCAAATCGGGAGTAAGATTCATCAAGTACAAGAAGCTTTAATGGCAAATGAAAACAGGGCTAAAATTTCAAAATAACAAACATTAAAGAGCGCAAGACAGTATAAGATGTTAATAATCAACTGAAGAGAGATATTAGCATTTGTCTCGAACAAACGAATCCTCGCCGACGATTATAAAAAAGTTATTGTATTTCTTGGAAGACGCAGATTCGTCTTTGTCCTTCGCTTGTCATTGATAAATGTTAACATATCTCTTTAAATGACAATTAAACTCAAAATTTGTCTTCTGTCTTCACTTTTCTTGAGAAATTTGTTTATTTGCTGTTGGTTTTTTTTTTCTTTTCTGGAGAACACTTATTTTCGATTTAGCTGTTTTGGTCCTGAGCTCAAGACTAGTTGAGTTTCCTACTTCATGTCCAAACCACTTTAACCTCCTATTATTCACTTGAAACGAACAAAAATTCAGGTTATGTTTGTATGAAGTCCAACGCATTTTACTGAAGATGGAGCCCTCCATCTACTGGTAATGACACCCCTGTGATGAATGATGCCTTGGGAGAACACAGAAAAGCAGTCACGTGCCCAAACTCACGACCTTCCCCAAATCGCTTCATGGGAGATCTTTGAATCATGCCCTTAACAGCCTCGCTTTCAATCCCACCCTTGCTTGCAGTCAAATGATGCCAAGCGTCAGATAAGATGTACCCAGGAATGATGGCGTTAACGGTGATCCCGCGGGGCGCCAGAGCTTGGGCGTAATACCGCACCTGTATTGATCAGATCATGGAATATAAGTACATAAAGTCCTAGAATTATTTGAACTATTTCACCTTTTGTAAATGGAAAATTAGTCGCGTCAGTACATTTTTAACTCTTTTTTTACGATCCTTTTAAATTTTCTCCGTTATCATTAGTATTCCGGTTAGGTTTACCTCTGACTTTTTCTTCTTTCTTTGACTAGGTCAAATTTTCTGAATTTGCGAAGACCGTTCTCGTCCCTACAGTGCAATTTAGCCGATGCTAAGGGATGACACGAGCCTGGCTCTTCTCGTAACATATGGTAGTGACCAGAAAGATGTCGAGCGTTTAGCTATCATAATGCGCGTGCTTACATCAAATATGGTACTGACAAGAAAGATCTCGGGCGTTTAGCTATGATGATGCGCATGCTCACCTCGTCGTTAAAAAATGTCGAAAAATATACGGCAAGACCTTATGGTTATCGCACTAAATCTTGGTAAGCTTATTTTTAAATCCGAGGGTGCTTCACTAACCCTGGTAGGCACTGATTTCGCTGCGGTTTGACACTGGAATGTCTTTTTTCGTTTCTTTACCGTGGAACACAAACGGAAATTAATGACTGGCACACTTAATTGTCATGAATTAGCGTTGATTCTTTCAGTATTTTAAATGTACGCATTTCTCTCACGATCAGTCCCAAACGTAAAATAGAAAAGAAAGGTTCTGTCCCAACTTGTTCTCTCAAAGCGTCCGAAGCACTTGAACAGAGTATGCACAACGCTTGTCGCCTGCAAACACCGCACAGTTTGGCTCATCAGTCACTTCTCTGTATCTCTGGGAAAGAGCATCTAATCACGCAAGCCTTGTAATACGAATCCTTACGGGAGAATCAAGGTCAGCGTCTCTACCTCTTAACAAATGTTAAACAGTGACCTCTATTTTTCATTTAAACTAAGAGTAATTGAACAATGTTTTTTTTAAACTGACAGCGATGACAGCCTTACCATTGTATGACCCATAATATTGTCCGAGGGTGTAAGTGTTGAAAAGAGTTATTAGATCTCGTTTGTTACGGTAGTTTTATGGAAAAGGACATGCTATTTTCCAGACGAAAAAATATTCTTACGTGGAATTTTGTAATCAAGAAAAGAGGAATTAGTTTTTTGTAAATAAGCGAACCGTAGAATCTTTAATGGTGAGTAATTAGAACGGCATAAATTGTTGTCAAAGTCATGGGCAACTAAGGAATGCAGGTGCGTATCATCTTACTGAACCAAAAACATCCAAAAAAATCCGAAGATTTCTAAGCGAATAAATTCGCTAAGTATCGTTAAATCATTCAGCATTAGTAAGAAAGGCATAGCTTCAAAGTCTTACAATAAAGACAATGTATCCTGTAGTTGTACACCTTATAAGCTTACCAGTAATTCTAAGCCGCCTTTGGCTTGAGTTGTTATTGCGTATCCTGGTTTCACTGTCTGCATGCAGTTGGAGCCATAGGTAGATATCGCCAAGATATACCCTTTACCATCTTCCATAACTTTGATCGCTCTTTCGACCATTCGGATAAAGCACTTTGGATAAATCTCTTGGAAGTAATCGTAGGTGGCGAAATCATCAAATTTTCCAAAGCCAATGGTTTCTTTGTAGCTCGCGGCCGCTTTCTTAGCTGCTTCGGTTTCCGCTACTGATGACACACCAATTGCAGCTCCAGCGTTGTGTATCAAAGCATTAAGCTCATTTCCGAAATTCTTCTCCACGCAATCAAAGATTGCATCGACGGCCTCAGGTCTAACAAGGTCTCCTTTCACGAGAAAAACCTTGACTCCATATCTCTCCTCCAAGGTCTTCTTGGCCTGGTCGGCGCGTTCTGTGTTGGAGTTGTACGTAAGAATCAAATGGGTGTAGCCATTGCTTGCCATTTCATTAGCAGCATCAAACCCCAGACCTCGGGTTCCTCCGGTGATTATACCGAACATGTTGAATTTACTTACGAGTCAACGGAGAATGTGGATCACTGTAGAAGCTTTGAAGCGCATAGCCTGGTTTTAAGTGGCTTCAGTTGTGGGAGTGGCAATTACTTCTGGTCGAGCAGCAATCAATTTCGTGACATACTGTCTCCAATAGCAAGCGTTCCTTTTTAGTTTCCGCGGCCTATTCTGTTGCAAAATGAAACTCTTGATCGAGTTCAACGCTTTCAATAAACTACTGGTATTGAACTCCGAAGTGGGCTAAATTTAGATACTTTTACCAATTTGTGAAAATTGCTTAACTAAGCTATTAATGTGACGGATGTATTAATGCGTGACTTTACAATTAGTGCACATGCGCGATATGACTTCAGCTGATTTCTGAGAGGTGTTCAATGTCTTGAAAGTATTCTCTCCCTTTTATGGTCCCTTTAATCGTTTTGAAGGGTTTGGATAAATACATAGCTCTCCTGGCTGTAAATATTTCGTCTAATCAAACTAATCATTTTTGCCACAACAAGTTGGAAACAATTGGATACAAATTTATGTCATTTTCTGACTAATCACGACCAAGGCTTTTTTTTCTGTCTAACACAAAAACATAATTCCAACAACTCAGCTATGCCGGAAATTGCTTGCCAGATAGTTACAAGCAATTGTAACTTCATGAGTCAACTTTCCTGGAATGTTCTGTGTTCTCTCGTAAAATAGCGTTCATCACCTGGAAACGGTGGAGAACTTCGTACAAGTAACGTCAATTTCTTGCCAATATCGTGACTGATTCCCATTCAAGCGTTTCTATCGACTTTTACCGGACACTGTGTCAGACAAGAAAACGGATGTCCGACTTAAATCCTGATAATTTGCACCGGGAAATTTGTTTTCTCAAGCCCTCGTCAAAAGTTACACCTTCTTATTATACAAAAAGAATTCTGGCTCCTAAAATCTTTTAGCTAAAACGCGTTTGAGGGCCGAAGGCATGAATTGACGATGGCCGGGGACGCGACATTCTGGAGGGTTCCGAGACATCCTTTCCCGGGAATTTTTGAGATATTAAAACAAAGAAAATACGCCCTGTCCGTTTGTGTAAACTTCGCTGTATTCGTACGCACTTTTATCATCGCAATATACTTCTACATCTAGCCCCTATTTGATGTAAGTTTCATAGATTTCATTAACATCCGCGAAAATCCCTTGGCGAAAATCACTCGGCGAATATCACCTTGGTTTCGCTGTTCGCAATCTTCGTGATATCAACATGTCATTCAGATACAATGATTTATCATCATGGGTTTATTACGAATCAACTTAACGGCCTGCTCCCTGTTGGCTTGTTAGCTTAATTGATGGAGCGCTGCACTAGTATCGCAGCGGTCAGTGGTTCGAATCCCGTACAAGCCTGATTTTTGTCAGGTCTGATTTTCGCTATTGCATAAATAGCGCTATCTACTGCGAAGAATCGTGCATCATACGTATGTTTTATTTCGTTTAACGTTCCACAATTGAGACGCTACACATGATGTAAGTTTAACACGATAGCCTTCACATAACGTTTGAGTCAAATCGCCCGCCACCGGTGGCACTTTGAATCTGAGTGGTGGCGAGTTTTGTGGTGACGAGTTTGTTGTAGTGACGAATTGACCGAAGTCGTCTCGTGTGAACACAGTAAAGTAAAGTTAGGCAGTTTTCTGACGGTACAAAAAGAAACATAGTCAAAGTGATTATTCTAGTCAGTAGGAAGAGATTTAAACCAGAAAATGAACCAATC